CTTCTCATGTGGGCACTTATTGCTATATATTTTCCTCTAGAGACTGCTTTAAATGTGTCTCAGAGATTCTGGTATGTTGTGCCTTCATTCTTGTTGGTTTCGAAGAACATCTTTATTTCTGCCTTCATTTCATTGTTTATCCAGTCAACATTCAAGAGCAAGTTGTTCAGTTTCCATGAAGCTGTGTGGTTCTGAGTTAGTTTTTGAATTCTGAGTTCTAACTTGATTGCTCTGTGGTCTGAGAGACTGTTTGTTATGATTTCCATTCTTTTGCATTTGCTGAGGAGTGATTTACTCCCAATTATGTGGTCAATTTTAGAGTAGATGTGATGTGGTGCTGAGAAGAATGTATATTCTGTGGATTTGGGGTGGAGAGTTCTGTAAATGTCTATTAGGTTTGCTTGGTCCAGGTCTGAGTTCAAGTCCTGGATATCCTTGTCAATTTTCTGTCTCGTTGATCTGTCTAATATTGACAATGTGGTGTTAAAGTCTCCCACTATAATTGTGTGGGAGTCTAAGTCTCTTTGTAAGTCATTAAGAACTTGCCTTATGTATCTGGGTGCTCCTGTATTGGGTGCATATATATTTAGGATCGTTAGCTCTTCTTGTTGCATTGATCCTTTTACCATTATGTAATGTCCTTCTTTGTCTCTTTTGATCTTTGTTGCTTTAAAGTCTAATTTATCAGAGATGAGAATTGCAACTCCTGCTTTTTTTTTTGCTCTCCATTTGCTTGGTAAATCTTCCTCCATCCCTTTATTTTGAGCCTTTGTGCATCCTTACATGTGAGATGGGTTTCCTGGATACAGCACACCGATGGGTTTTGGCTTTTTATCCAATTTGCCAGTCTGTGTCTTTTGATTGAGGCATTTAGTTCATTTACATTTAGGGTTAATATTGTTATGTGTGAATTTGATACTGCCATTTTGGTGCTAGCTGGTTGTTTTGTCCATTAGTTGATGCAGGTTCTTTTTGTGTTGATTCTCTTTACCATTTGGCATGTTTTTGGAGTGGCTGGTACTGGTTGTTCCTTTATATGCGTAGAGCCTCTTTCAGGAACTCTTGTAAAGCTGGTCTGGTGGTGACGAAATCCCTGAGTACTTGCATGTTCAGAAAGGATTTTATTTTTCCTTCACTTATGAAGCTTAGATTGGCTGGATAGGAGATTCTGGGTTGAAAGTTCTTTTCTTTAAGGATGTTGAATATTGGCCCCCACTCTCTTCTGGCTTGCAGGGTTTCTGCTGAGAGATCTGCTGTGAGTCTGATGGGCTTCCCTTTGTGGGTAACCCGACCTTTCTCTCTGGCTGCCCTTAGTATTTTCTCCTTCATTTCAACCCTGGTGAATCTGACGATTATGTGCCTTGGAGTTGCTCTTCTTGACGAATATCTTTGTGGTGTTCTCTGTATTTCCTGGACTTGAATATTTGCCTGCCTTGCTAGGTTGGGGAAGTTTTCCTGGATAATATCCTGAAGAGTATTTTCCAGGTTGGATTCATTCTCTTCGTCGCATTCAGGTACACCTATCAAATGTAGATTAGGTCTTTTCACATAGTCCCACATTTCTTGGAGACTTTGTTAATTCCTTTTTACCCTTTTTTCTTCATTCTTTCCTTCCCATTTTATTTCATTGAGTTGATCTTCGACCTCTGATATCCTTTCTTCTGCTTGGTCAATTCAGCTGTCGATACTTGTGCATGCTTCGCGAAGTTCTTGTGTTGTGTTTTTCAGCTCCATCAATTCACTTATATTCCTTTCTATTTTGTCCATTCTCGTTAGCATTTCATCAAATCTTTTTTTAAGGTTCTTAGTTTCTTTGCATTGGGTTAGAACATGTTCTTTTAGTTCACAAAAGTTTCTTACTACCCACCTTCTGAAGTCTGATTCTGTCATTTCATCACACTCGTTCTCCATCCAACCTTGTTCCCTTGCTGGTGAGGAGTTGTGATCCCTTGTAGGAGGAGAGGTGTTCTGGTTTCAGGTGTTTTCATCCTTTTTGTGCTGGTTTCTTCCCATCTTTATGGATTTATCCACCTGTCGTCTTTGTAGTTGCTGGCTTTCAGATTGGGTCTCTGAGTGGACGTTTGTTGATGATGAAGTTATTTCTGTTTCTTGGTTTTCCTTCTAACAGTCTGGCCCCTCTGCTGTAGGTCTGCTGAGGTCCACTCCAGGCCCTGCTTGCCTGGGGATCACCTGCAGCAGCCTCTGCACTTTCACTGGGAGCTGCAATCCTGAGCTGTTCCTAAATGGCCATCTTGGATCCTAGCCCCCTGGTGCTACAATTCTTAACAGAACATGACAAACTGAAATAAACAGCACATTAAAAGACTCATTCATCGTGGTAATTTATTTCTGAAATGCAATGATCCTGAACATACTCAAATCAATAAACATGATATACCATTTTAATGGAGTAAGGAACAAAAACCGTATGATCATCTGAATGATGCAGAAAAAGCATTAAAAAATGTTTAACATACTCTTGTAATTAAAAAATCTCAAAAATATAGATGTAGAAGGAAAGTACCTCAACACAATGGAGGCCATATTCAGTAAGCCCACAGTGAGCATAACACTCAACAGTAAAAATCTTTCCCTGTAAGATCAAGAATAAGAAAAAGATGCCTACTTATGATACTGAACACAATGTTAATGTTATGTAAATAGTTGTATTGATTTTATTTTTATTGTTGATTTTTATTTTTTTAACCAAATAATTCTAATCTATAGTTTATCGAATCTATAGTTTATCAAATCATGATTGTAGAACTCATGAATACAGCAAAGCAAATGAATATATGCATGTATATACAACATATATGCCACATATAACTATAAACCATAGCAATGTGAAAGTAAATCTTAAAATTTTAGTATAAAAAAGGTGTAAATGTAAGTACATGCAGAAATTTGAAAAATTATTATTTGGTAATGTTTATATTTGGATAAAGGAAATGGAAAAAAAAAGAGAAAGTATTGTCTCCATTATATACCAGGATCCCTGCTACATCCTTTATATTTTATATATGCCTGGGCAAATTTTTAAAATATATATGATTATTTTTAATTCCATGTGGTAGTTGCAGAAACTGAGGTTCATATAGGTTGATGATGTTTTCATGGATGTATAATTAGTAAATGGATCAGTGAGGAAATTAATCAATTTGTTTTCTAGGGAAAGCTATTTCTACTACAGAGCTTCTGGAATGTGGAGGAAAGACTATAATTGTTACCAATTTATGGACCCTCAGCATCAAATTCATTTTTCAGTACGTGCTCCGTGCTGATAGATGGAATTTTTAAAAAGTATTTCTCCACTGTGAGCATGCTTCAAGCTTTCTCAGGAGAGGATGCAGCAGGGACATTACAGGAGGAAGCAGGGCTCCTGCATTCTCGAGTGTGGCACAGGAGGGGATTAGAAGGTATTAGCAGTGTGAGTTAAGGATATCTGCCGAGGCTCCACCACACTCTTAGGTCCAGAATATGCTGGATCCTTAAGGACCTTGAGCTTCAGCCTGGCAGTAATCTTTATGTGACCCTGTTTACATGAAAACTAGCACCTTGAAGACAGTTTACTCATGAGTCCCTGCAGGGCTCCTACCCACACACTCAGATTCTCTACATAGGCTACCCATCACTGCCACTTTCCATAGTCTGCCTGCAGCCCAGGGCTTCTCAGGCCCTCTGCAAGCCCATATCTCCAGATGTGCATTATTTGCTTACCATGTGCTCCAGAGGGTTGCCTCTTGTTTCCCAGTGAATGCAGACAATATTTATCTATTTAATCATCATCTTTATTTTATGTATTTATTTTATGAGTTTTAATATATAATTGATGTAAAACTGTACTTATTTAATGGATATAATTTCTTGAGTTTGAACATATGCATATCCCTATGAAACTATCTCCCCAATGAAGGTAATAAAGATATCAAGCAAAGAGTAAGAATGAATAGGAAAATACACAGAAAGGCCAACTATTGTTAATGTCATAATGTAAGAAATACAACAAAAATATTATGAGTAAATATTATTGATATTTTGTTTGTAAAAGAAAATAGATTCTAAAATCAGGAAACCACTGTGAATAATTTAATTAAGCTAATTAAAAAAGGTGACGACCTTGCATACTTATCATTTTTGTGGTAATGTTTAAAATCTGTTCTTTTAGTAATTTTGAAATAAACAATGTATTACTCTCTATTATAGTCACCGTTTTGTATAATAAATCACTAAAGTTAATTCCTCTTACCTAACTGAAATTTGGTACCCTTTGATCAACAACCCCCGTTCCCCACCCACTCCACTTGTCTGGTGTATGACTTAGTGATTGATTACATTTTAGTAGAAAGCACTGATGTACAGCACAAACATCAGGGTAGTCCAATTGTTGTTGACATCCAATTATTAAATTCGATTCTTAAACATAAACAAACCCAAGTTTAAGAACTGAATTTAACAATTGGACATCAACAACAAAGAAGTTGTGAACCACGGAAATTCCCTCACTTTAAATGGAAACTCAAAAGTTTGTACTATAAATTTTAAATGATACATCTTACATAACTGACCTGTCAGAAGTTTAACAAAAATTTTTCCTTCAAGGAAAGAAGAGAAGGTCATAGACTACCTAGAAAAGGGGGGAATGGTCAAACTTTTCTTTAGAGAGAAGAAGAGTGTTTCAAGGTGCAGAGGTAGCATGCAGAAATACTCAATTCCTTGTCCAAAAACCATGATTAGTACTTTTCAGTAACTATCATAAAAGAAAGAACACATGGTATTAGGAAAGAATAAGAGGAAATGATGATGATAATGATGATAATGGTATTAAGAGCATTGAGTATTGAGTAGAACTCCGTATTTAATAGATGATTTCCAAGAACTCACAAGAGCAGAATGATGAACGTACATTTATAGGCCAAACATATTTTGGTGTCGTGTAATGTCATGGCCATGACGTGAAACTATGGAAAATAAAATTATGGTTGTATGAGTGTGTGTGTTTAAAACTTGTATGTTTGTTTTCCTTTCAGACATAAAAATATTCCCAGGGAAGCTATAAGCAAATTATGAATTCCAAAGAAAGTAGACGTACACAGAATGAGTTCATTTTAGGCAGATGATTACAAAAAGGGCAAATAGAGCCCATGTGAGGATGACCCATGCATTCCTGGATGTATATAAAGATCTTGGAAGAGTAGAAGACACTCACACTTCAGAGACATCCTCCTACACCTTCACTGAAATCTCACCTCCTGACACCATGTGTTGCAACTACTACAGAAACTCCTGTGGGGGCTGTGGATACAGCTCTGGCTGGGGTTCTGGCTGTGGCTCTGGCTATGGCTGTGGATACGGCTCTGGCTGTGGCTATGGCTGTGGATACAGCTCTGGCTGTGGCTATGGCTGTAGATACGACTCTGCATATGGATTAGGCTCTTGCTATGGCTGTGGATACAGCTCTGGCTGCTGTGGCTACCAACCATTTTGCTACAGAAGATGCTATTCCTCTTGCTGCTAATCATCACTACAGATCATCGTTGCTTTTGCAATGACCTCTCCAAGATTAAGTCCAATTGAAATCTCTCCTATCTTCACTTCTAAGTAAAGATTGACTATGGTCCCTTGACTATCTGAATACATATAAGAGAAGCTGTTTGCAGTGGATGGAGACCGAGTAGTTTCATGACATAACTGAAGAGAGGAGATTTTATTCTGATTAATTTTCTAGTGTAATTAATTTTCTAGTGTAAAACTCTTACATCTTTTTCTTCATTTTTGTGCCATGACTATTTGCAGAAACATAAGAGGAGTATATAATTGGAGCATACTAAAATGGAACAAAAATAGAATTTTCTTAATAAAAGGCTTTACTCACTAAGAAGTCCATTCTCCTTAATTTGAGGGTTTGTGGTTTCCTCAAAAGTTGTGTGACTATAACTTAAAATAAGAAAATGTTATTTTGTTTGTTGAATCCTAATACCGATGTTTTACATATTTCTTAATTCTTTGTATGTTAATTCTTTACATTTTTATTTAAACAAGAACACAAATATTAAGCTCAAAATTTTAAAACATACATGAAAAAGAATTAGAATAGAGCCAAGAATGAGACTGGGGATCTACTTATGAGGTTAATGTACTAGTCCAGCAATGACTGTCTTGGTTGAGCTTAAGTCAAGGTAATTAAGAGGCAACACTATTAATTTAATGTTAATAGTTTTTGAATATGTAAAATAAGAAATCTGGGACTAAGCAAATAAGGTTACTACAAGTGCTCAAGACCGTGAGAAGGATCAGGGCTCTTTTAACTTCCCGTTCCTCACTCTTGCTGTGTGACTTTCACACTCATTGTTTTAAAGTGATTGCTGTGTATGACCATCATTCTGCACAAGTAAGGACAAATGATAAAGAACACCAGGTCTTTTAAAACTTTGTTCTTTTATTTGGGAGGGGATGCTCTTTCTTGTTTGGACACATGTGTACTGAGATCACTCTTAGCTGAAGGTCTGTAAAAAACAAAAAGTTTGTGGTTAGCAGTTCTGCTAGTCAGTCAACTGTGTGTGTCCAAAGTTTGTAGGTCTTGGGCAAAAAGAGAAAAGGACCAATGACTGAGAAAGCAAAATCTCAGATAAATGGCCATATGTTCTTACAGCAACTTGAATTTGGGCAGGGGTGCAATTTATGACTTTACTATTTTTTTCGTCAAGTGTAGACATCTGAACTTAAAATAGTCTCTTATTTATATGATATTGCTGTTTGTCCACACATGGCTCTTTTCCTTTTCCGTCTAACATAGTAATTTATTTATTCTCTCCTGTTTCTCTTTTATTTCTATTCTCACACCCATCTCTCATTTAGAGTCAACTTGTAATTTGTTATTTTATATGCAAATACCCCATTTCATCTTGTCGATATCCCACACAAGTTGGCCATTTTACTATATATTTTATATCTATTTAAATTATATTATTTATATCTTTTTAAAACCCCTTTTCTTTCAGCACAATTTGTATTGAATGATTTATTTCACCTAAAAATGTAAAGCAAATATTTATATACTTAGAGACTTATAATACAATAATAGTAAAGGACTTTGATGCCTCACTTTCATCAAGGAACAGAGTATTCAGACAGAAAATAGGTAAGTAACCACTAGATCTGAACTATAGTTTAGAGCAAATGGACCTAATAGGCATATATAGGACATTTCATTCAACAACAGCAGAATACAATTCTTCTCAAAACACAGGAAAATGCTTCAAAGTATTAACATACTTAAGAAGTTAATTTTTTTGTTTTGAAATGTGTTTCAAAACAAGTCTTAACATATTTAAGAAGATTGTGATTATATTAAGTATCTTCCAACCAAATGGCTTGAATCAACAAATCAATGATGGAAGGAATTTTGGAAAATGTAGAAACATATGAATACTAAATAACATAATCATAAACAACAAATGGGTCAAGAAAGAAAAAAGAAAGGAAAACTTAAGATTTGAAACAAATGAAAATAAAAGCACAACATATCAAAACTTTGGGATGCAGCAACGGCAGATCTAAGAGGAAACTTTATAACAATAAATGCTCACAGTGACAAAGAAGACAGATCTTAAATAAACTAACTTTACACTCTGAGGGGAAAAAAACGGAATAAACTAAGAAAGAACAAAAAGCTGAACAAGCAAAATCTTAGGTAAATTAATATATGTCCTTACATCAACTTTAGTTAGAACAGGTACACAGTTGATGTCTTCACCAATTTGTTTTTCCTTATAATGTAGAGGATTAATATACTCCCCTATTCATACAGTGCTATTGTTTGTCCACACATGGGTCTTTATGTGTTTTAATATTTTGCTACCATAATAATTTATTTATTTGCTTCTATATCTTTTTGATTTCCACTCTCATCTATCATTTACAGCCATATTGCATTTTATCTCATATGCAAGCATCCCTATTCATGTTTTCAAAGTCCCAAGAAAGTCGGTCCTTTTATTATATATTTTAAGTCTATGTAAGTGGTGTTGTATCTTTGGAAAACTTTTTCTCCCTCAGCACTATTTGTGTTGAAAGACTCATTAATGCTATTATGTATAGATTTAAACTATTATTCTAATTGTTCGTTGGTACTCTATGTGGTTCATACACAAGATTTTGTCCATTCAGTGTTTCAGTGATGCACACTTAATCACCGCAGCCTCTTCAGCACATGACTGGTGCAATCAACTTGTCCCCCATGGACTACTATGAGAATCAATCCAAATGTGAATTACTGAGACAAATGACGTGTTCATGTTTTATTTTACTAAGTATTGTCAGATTAGTCTCCAGGATGTCTGCACCAGTCCAAACTGCCAAATTGCATTTTGTATGTCTTCAAATATGTACCAATATTGCTTTACATCACTTTTTAATTTTTTTGGTAAGTAAAAAGTGATCTTATCTGGCTGTTTTAACTTGCATGTCTCTGATTACCAATGGGTTTGAACATTTTCATTTCTTCCAATATGTGTTAACTTTCATGATTTCTCTTTCATATCCTTTGCCCATTTTTCCATTGAGGTTTTTGTCTTTTTCTTATTGATTTGTAGGAGTTCATTGTATATCCTTGATAAATTTCCTTGTCATTTTTAGACACTGCAAGTATCTTCACAACTGTCATTTATTTTTGTTCATATTGTGCATAATTGAATAAACATTTTAAATCTATGATTTTTTGTTATTTTATGAGAAGATCTACCTTATTTTTATGTCAAAAACATACTAAATTTTCATTTATTGTTTTTAAAGTTTTACATTTCACACTTAGATCATTAGTCTAATATACCTAATATATACCTAATATATATTAGACTATATCATTAGTCACATATAATGTGGTGTTCCAGCAACCCTTTTCACTGAGCTCATTTCTCTAGCACCACCTCCTAAACCCTTTGTCATTGGTTGGTGGAGCCACCTCTATCCTCTGTTATTATGTGTACCTGAGTTTATCTCTGTACTCTGTTTCATGCTTGCTTTACATTTATGTAGTGTGGCGTTTTTCGAAGACTTCTTGTTTGTGTGTGTGTGTGTGTGTGTGTGTGTGTGTGTGTGTGTGACACAAAATTAGGTTGATTCTGCTTTGTTTTTCCACTGAAGACCAGTAGATCCAATGTGTAGAATTTAAAGACAGATAAACTTTACAAGATAAATTGTTTCTTTCTGTGAAAAAAAAAATGCAAAGATTAGCCAGGCATGGTGGTGCACACCTGTAGTCCCAGCTATTCAGGAGGCTGAGGTGGGAGGACTGCTTGAGCCTGGGAGGTTGACGCTGTAGTGAGCCATGATTGTATCATTGCACACCAGCCTGAGTGACAGAGTAAGATCTTGTCTCAAAAATAAAACAAACAAAAAAAACACAAAAAACATTTTCTAAAGGCTAGAATTCTATGAAAATGGAATAGGCTGCCTTGTAGGCATTTCTATCCTGAAGTCGTTGAACAATTTACATCTTTGGTTACTAGAAAACTCTAACTAAAAAACTAGTAACCCTGGTTACTAAAAACTCTGAGTGCATTCAAAACTTGGGCTTAATTAATTCATTCACATCATTCACTTTCACTTTGTAATTTAATGATTCTGTAATAAAAAATAATTGAAGGTTGGGTCAGGGCAACATGAATAAGAATAATGTTACCCGAAAGGTCAGAAAAATTATGCTCGATTCTATTGTAGAGTTAGGAAGGAGTATGTTACTTTCAAGGTGAGCTTTGAAGCATCTACCTACTGTTAGCGTCAGTATTTCTGGATTTCTGGGATCTGTACAGAAGATGTGACTCAAAGCAGGAAAAGGAGGAATGAGATCAGTAAAGCCGCTGCAGAGGAACTCATAAATGTGTTTAGGGCTTAATGCAATAATGAATATGGTCTATTTCAGTTCTTAAAGGGATATAGGGACCTATTCACAGTAAGATGCTGAGAGATTATGAGATATATGGTAATAGTTCAGTTGTCCTGGGAAACAGTCATCTCATTCAGGTAACTCTTCAAGGACAGTTGAGGTGATAATCATTTGCCAGGATTATGTGCTGAATGGCATATTTCTTTGCTGTTTATTCCTTTTAGTTCTTTGGTTTAGTAACACAATTGCTCCTTAAGTCAGTTTTCTTACATATAACATGTGGATAAAATATATTCTCAAAGTTTTTGGGAGGTTTGTGTTTCAGAATATTTCCAAAGGCAATTTGCATAATGTGAATTTTTGTAATAACTCTTCATTATGACAAATTTCTTTGCTCTATGGGAGGCTGCAAATGGAAAGCAGTAATCAGTTTTAAGAGACTAATTAATACATTTATGCACAGGACTCTCTAAGACACATTCCCTGTAATTAGTGATAGATGTTTTATAATTAACATTTACATTTGCTTAAATCTCCAGATGTAACATTAAAGAATCTTAATATAAGCAAAATAGCCATACTCTCCAACATGACCTCTTTTCCTATGCTGCTAATCTTTTCAGTGATATCAAAATTTGAGATAAGGATCTCAACTGCTTTCCATTTAAAACCATAGAATATTTTCCAACCAAATGTTTTCAAGTAGCAGATATACACTTTCCATAATTGTGAAATTGAATATACGTTATGATTACAGTTCCAGTGAATTGATGCAGTGGTCTCAGCAATAATTTATTGTATAAAATGCTTTCATGACATTGCAGTTAGTTTAATATTAAGATAATTTTCTCAGGATTTGTATTTGTTTTCTTCATTAATGTTCAATTAATAGGAATTGAGTAAATGAATGGGGTACATATTATTACACAAGTTTTCAGTTAATGCTCAATTAGTTGAAGAACATTTCTTATGTTTGTAGTTCGTAAATGGTGGAACCAGGATTCCGACCCAGGTCTCTCTAATTTCAAAAGATTT